CTACGAAGAAATCGCGCCCAGACGCCGTTGAATCTCCTACGAAGGAATCGCGCCCGCCGAATGTTGCTACTCGTACTTACTAGATGCGCACGTTTACTGCTGCCCGAAAGCCGCGTTACTTACGTTGCGCCCGAGATGCGCCCGTTACTTCTTGATGAGGCCAAGCTGCCTCCGAATTGCGCGCCGCCGCCGCGCTTACGTTTTTTTTTTATAGCGCCGAGACGCTCACGCTACTTTAAATGTCCGAAGCATTGTTACTAGCCTATTTAGCCCTAAGATATGGAATTCTCGCTCACCAACTTTCTTCCTACAAAATAATGGTACTGTTTTGAGCTCACTAATCCTGAGTAATTAACACCTCATGACAGGTTGCCTTCTCACAACAAATGTTCTTATTACTTTCATTTTCTGGCATCTTAGTAAAGGTACTGACAAGTAAATTACCATCCTCCTCCTTAGCCCTTTTTACTGGCCTGGTACACTTATATTTCAGCTCCTGAAGACGATGTGCCCCCCCCCCCCCCACACGAATGTTGCACCTCACTGTGAACCTCCGCCACACTGCTACCCTGACACACGATGACCTAAGGGACCATGGAGCACCAGCAACCATCTGTAGAAGCATATTGGGAGCTTGCCATCAGATGCGCCATCAGTGCATAGGACGTTGCAGACGGCTCGAGGGCGATCCGTTTGCGTGGCCGAGCGGTATGTCAGCTATATGGAAACCGGATGGGTTGGGCTTCACACCTAGGCATTGCAGCTGCCTTACTTCCTGGCTTCGCACCTTCCTTACCAGCCCAAGACTTTCTCTTCCGGCTCTTCGACACGCCCGGAAGAATGGACACCCAAAGAATAGGGTACGAGGCACCTCCGCCAGCAGGACAAGGAGGCGCTGGATATAAGGACGTCTCGTCAGGCAGAGAGGGACAGCACCAGAAGCAGACCAAGACCTAGCAGGAGTCATAGGGCAGGAGGCCGCCCTCGGCCCTCAGGGCGCGGGGTCACTCTCGGGGCCGCGCATTACCTCCCCAATAAACTCCTCAAGCAAGTCCCCTTTCATTCACCACCACCTCCACGCCCCCCAACTCTTATGTTGACACATATATAATATATATACATATATAATATATATATATATATATATATATATATATATACATATGCTTTTCTATCTCTCTGTATCTATATTTATCTCTCCCTCTCTCTCTCTCTCTCTCTCTCTCTCCTCTCTCTCTCTCTCTCTCTCTTCTCTTCTCTCTCTCTCTCTCTCTCTCTCTCTCTCTCTCTCTCTCTCTCTCTCTCTTTTCTCTCTCTTTCTCTCTCTCTTTCTCTCTCTCTTTTCTCTCTCTCTCTCTCTCTCTCTCTCTCTTCTCTCTCTCTCTCTCCTCTCTCTCTCTCTCTCTCTCTCTTCTCTCTCTCTCTCTTCTCTCTCTCTCTCTCTCTCCCTCTCTCTCTCTCTCTCTCTCTCTCTCTCTCTCTCTCTCTCTCTCTCTCTCTCTCTCTCTCTCTCTCTCTCTCTCTCTCTCCCTCTCTCCTCTCTCTAAAAAACTATCTGCATAACCGTTTTACTACTTAAAATGATCGTATAAATCGTACATTCCTCTTCATAAGACGGCACAATACCCACAAAACAGTATACCACGTAGGCAGTCCTACACCATATTCATCCACTGCTGAGGCAAGAGATGCAGTTGATGTAGGTCAGTTTGCATCATTCAAGTAGATAATAATTTTACAAAGACCATTATGGATGGGTCAATGTTAATTCTTGTCAGCATCCTTCTTGATAGTTTAAGCCTCTGTTTATACACACGATCAGCTCCTGTCTTTTATAAACCCTCATTCACATACGCATTTCAATAACAAGCATCGTACATGGGCACCTCATTTTGGTGTGAGTCCCTCCTCCCAATCTCTATGCAACTTCACTCGCACAACGCTTGTTTCTTGTTTTGCACGGTAAGACAACTGCTTAGCACAGTTTACGAGCAGTTAATGAGGACTAACAAGGTCTTTGACTGGGAGGAAAGGACGCGGTTTTTGGCAGCTGGATCAGTACAAGTGGTGTGAACTCCGTTATCACCTTTGAACAATGCATTATTCCGTAATAGCAGGGAAGTCGCTCAGTTGTTAAACACTAAGATCGTCGTCACATCGAACATCAGTACAGCTGTTGTTATTAATGGTGCTAATCGAAGTCAAAAGTTGCATCAAGATATTTCTCTTTGTTCATATAACTAATATCCACATCAACAGGCGTCTGGATGTCCAGCACAGCTGGCTTGGAGAGCTGCCGCGCCATTATATTGTCAGTAAAAAACACAAAAACAAAAACACGCGACCAGCAACACTGCATCCATATGTAGCAAATCTGATAAGGAGGCGATTGTGAAAAGGAACCATGTTTTACATAGGAAAACTGGTCATTTATATAAATTTATTAATAAATGTACTATGCTAGATTGTATATAAAAATAGCTTCGCCTGCCACGTCTTG